ACAACAACAGGATCGACAGTAAAACACTAGTGATTCACTAAAACAGCTAAATAGCACTCTTCAGTCCAGCTAGAGTAGCAACATTTCACTCTACAATGCTCCATAAGCAATGTTGAGGAACCGAACTCAACATAGTAGACTATATGTAGGTAAAAAAGGCAAAATTTAGACAAATCAAAATAAGTTTAAAGGTACCAGAAAGGGAAAGCTCATGGGAGACAAGAAGCACAAGCCTAGACTTCATGAAACTGAGTGGGTTCTGAGTGACAGCTACCCCAATCGGTTTAGCTGATTCCGGAGAAGAGTTATACCGCTTCTGATTAGTCGTATATAAGCGGCAATCACAGGAGGACTCAAGGCTAGCTCTGACGATAAAAGCAATGGCAGTGGTAACTGAAACCATCACAAGAAGCGCTACAACAGTCAGCCAGCGTTTCCGAAACAGAGCCATAGCCACAGAAGAATGCTTCGCCATGTCCAACGCTAGGGTTTGTGAGAGTGTAAAACTGGATCTGTGTCACCTTTCTCTGCATTTTAGAGTTGGGGTTTTTGATCCGGACTGGTAATTGGCATACATTTGGCTTTTAAATTGACACTTGGAGATAAACAGTTCGTCTTTATTTTTTAGATTGAAATATCTGGCGCTGTTGGAGTGGCGAAGATCTACTGCGCCGGATTCGACAACTGCCGCGGAGACTGACTTGAAGCGTTTTGGATTTGATGACTACGCTTCAATATTAATGGCAAATTGGCAATGGCGATGTTGTCAGTTCAGCCTCGAGAGAAAAATTGTCAATGCTTTTGTAGTCTAGTTAGTTTACTGGATTGTTCAGTTCAATTTGCTGCTAAGTTTTTCCAACCTTGGGAAATGTGGTACGTGTCTGGGAAATATTGCCTATTGTACAGGTATTTACACTTTCACCCCTCTAAATCGTGCTGAATTTTATTTTTTCTTTCATTTCCAACACAACTATTTTATTCTAAATTTTCTATATTTGAAGAGTAAAATAGAGAATGAGCTTTGTATCCAACCATATCCTCTATTTCACTCTCCTAATAGAGAGTTTTCTATTTTTTTCAAACAATCAACTCTAGCTCAATTTTCTATTTTATTCTCTAAAAAAAAAATCTTTTTTTTGAATATTATATTATTATTTTTATTTCATTCTTATTTTCTTATTTCGTAACATAGTTGTCTTTCTTTCTTTCAATAACCACTTTACACAATATCGCGAAGTGGCGACCAAGCACTCCCGCCCCCAAAAGCGGAGACCGAAGAACCGCCAGGTTGTCGAGGACACGTCTGAAGAGGAGGCGGGCGCCCTCTAAGTTGACCACCTCCCCCCATTATTGTTAACGCAATATTTCCCATCACACGGCTCACCAACTTGATCTAGCCCAGTGAACCGGGCGGGGCACTCGAAGGAGCTTGTTCCGGTTCCGGATACGAGAATAATACCAACTGGAGAATCTCCTTCAGGTGCAAAGCGTAAGTCCTTTCACTAAGCGCTTCTCCCATTGGGGAGGAGGAGATTTATCATCAATATGATGATTGGAATGGAAACCACGAAGCCCAGCGGAAGCGACTTCCTCCAGCGCCCTCACCTGATCGCTGGGGCACGAGTGCCCTTACTAGTTTTGGGGCTTTGGTTGGCAAAAGCGGTTTTCGCCCTCTAGCCATCAGTTGCGCGTAGCATTTCGCTAAGAACCAAGACTCACGATCTACTAAGCTTTATATTGATTCAAAGCCAATCGTGACTGACAGGAATGTTACGGGATTTTTGATTGGCGGAGACTATATGGCTCTCAATATGGTAGGCGGCATCCCCTCTTAGTTTTGAGTAGGGGAGTCTTCGCTTTTTTTTACAGGATTTGGATCAACGGGGTAAAGATTCCAGTGTTTACCAAGGAACTTGCTTTGCTTTTTTGCTTTAAAGACCTAATGCACCTTTCTTTTATCAAATCTCAGGGACATGGTCTAATCATGAGGGTAGTATTTTATCATGGTGTCGGATCCTAAGTTTTTATGGATTCCTTCTTTGTTACCGGGGTCGACCCCTAAGCCATAATGTCTCAAAATGAGGAGCTGAAAGCCACCTACTTCTAAAGATAGATAGAAAGGGTTGGAGACTGACGAATCTTTTGCTTCTCGTGTGGTGTCGAACAATGGTGCTTGCGTTGCGGGAGATGCCCTCCCGTAGGGTCCGGCCTGCTTCCCGCCCGAAAGAACCGCTCACTAGCTAGCCGGACGTCTCAAAAACCCAATTATCGTATTTAAGAAAAAGAGGTCTATAAAAGTCACCTATTGGATTTCTTACTCCAGAAAAAATAGACTAATCAACAATAATGCGCACACATGAAAAGGCTTACCCCGCAGGCTGACTCTTCCAATCCAACTCTATCGAAAGAGAGAAGATTTCGTCCACCAAGCGGGACAGAGTGCGACCCCTAAGCAATTGGGGGTTCTCGCTCATCTCCCGGGAGAACACAGGGTCAAGCCAAGCCCTGACCCGCATAAATGGAATTCATATCTCCTTCGTCTGGTCGTGTCTCCGAGGGACAGTTGAACTAGCGACTCATAAATGCTGCCGGGTTGGACGAGCCAATAACTCGAAGGCGTTCGGTCCACTTACCAAACTAGGTAAGCTAGTCATATAGCTTGCTTAGCACAAAGTTTAGCCTCTTATAGTATAACATTCTTCTTATGGTCAGGGGTAGCGAGACCTGAAAGAAGCGTTAAAGAATCGAAGGGAAAAAAGAACAAGAAGTGCAGCTATCTCCGCCTCACAGCATCAGTTTACCGCACAATATTTTCGGTTCACTTCGTCACACTCTCGATAGCTTCCGTCTGGGTATGCGACCTTGGATTGCTGTTGCATATTCAGCAACCAACTAAATCTATACTTTTTCACTACTCGTACTTGAAAGTTTAGTACTATTATTGTTTTATAATTTTCATTTCATATGTAAAAAAAAAGTCTTTTTTTATTTAATTTATAATTTTATTTTATTCTAAATTTCTAAATAACATAAATTGCAAATAAATATTATATAATATACAAATTAGTGGATATAAATTGCAATGAAAATTGTTGTTATTAATTTATTATGTTATGTATTATTTTGTATCTCGTATTTAAATTATTATGTTATGTATTGTATTTTAAAATTAAAATTTTCATCTTATCATTTTAATTTTGTGCATTCATCATAGTGACAATTAATAATAATATCAAATTATATTAGAGTGACGAAAATTAAAATATTATCAATTCGGAATGAAAATAGTATATATTAAATAATATACTTTTTAAAAATATTATAGTACATCTAAAAAGAATTGTGTATATTAAATATTTAATTAATGGTCTTATATGAAAAATAATGTGTTAATTATAAAATAATATAAATAATAATAAAATAATCAAAAAGTAAAATAGAGAGTCACACTCTCTTGTATTTTGCTTTTTCATTATTTTATTATTATTTATATTATTTTGTAATTAACATATTATTTTTCATATAAGGCTATGAATTAAATCTCTAATATTCGTAACTCTTTTAAATGTAATATAATATTTTTTAAAATACATATTTTTTAATATATACTACTTTCATTCCGAATTAATAATATTTCAATTTTTTAATTTTTTTTGTCAATTTAATATAATTTGATTTTATTATTAATTTTCACTATAAAGAATACACAATTTTAAATGGTTTACAATTATTCAAACTATTCGTAATCCACGTTCTCAAAAGAAGAAATATTTCGCAATGAAATAAGAATTAATCTACTTAAATGATTTCTAAATTATAATATTATTTTCAAAATAATCAAAGAATTAATAATTGAAAAAATAAGTAGGCATTTGACCAAAGAAGTAAAATATTTTTCACTTTATTTTATTTTATTTTTTGACGGTGAAGTTTTGTTTGGTTATAGTTTTTGCGAGAATATTTGAAATATTATTTATGTTTAAATGTACTTTTACTATAAAAAAAAATGTATATGTAGCTACCCTATAGTGAGGTTGGACACCTTCGTCGAAAAATAATATCGTATATATAAGTCAAATGATACACGAAGTGATAAAATGACATATTTTGGACATCCTTGACAGAATAGAGTGTTGTAGTTTAGTGGTTTTAGATACCTTGAAAAAGCCCTAAGTGTTTATGTGTTCGAATTTCTCTAGTAACAATTTTTTTGGACACCCTTAGTGAAACTCCTGATTCTGCCACTATATAAAATATGATTTATATCTCATGAAGTTTATAAACTATTAAAATTGCCTAATTTGGCTAATTCACTCACTTACACAAATAAATGGATAATGCAATATCTTTTGCGAGAAAATATGCACTAAAAAGAAAGGTACAAAAAGAATATCATGTTCCCATAAAATCAAAGTACATAGATCACGTACTAACATCGCATACACAAATAAATGTTATCAACTTAAATGTGCTAAAGTACTACGATAATAAAAATGAGATCTTATATAATAATAATTAATATCAATTTTGTATTGCTTCTCGAAATTGTTTGAGTCATAAATCAAAAATGATCTCAAATTGCATTTTCCTCGCGCGAAACAATTATGAAACAGAATAATAGAAAATCAGTTCAACCAACAAGTTGCTACGATATAGTTGATATAAAAATAGAATTATTTTTGTGATGAATAAAATTTAGTGCTAATTTTTTTTAAAAATAATTCTAAAAGTGAAAAGTAAGTTAAAAAATAAATTATAAGTTATTTTTAAATATTGGATTTGATTTTTCGTTATCATATACTGATTTCATAAAGTGATTTTTTTTTTTAAAAAAGGGAATAATTTTCATGGTAATATAGTACTAATACCATTGTAGTAATTTCTTCCCACCGGCAGATTTATTTTACTTAAAAATAAAATAAAATAAAAAAGGCGTTTGCTAGATTAAACAATTTAGCGAAGTGACTTTCCAAATCACATTGTCCTAAAAAAAAAAAACAAAAAACTTCCAAATCACATCAAAAGACAGGTGCAAACAATAAGGGAACTGGGGAGGACTCAATTGAAAGTTTTGGACGAAGAAATGTTATAGAGCAATTCATCGGAATCTGTACAGCGACGAGTGCTTACAACGCCGGTGGATATTTTCTGGTGGTTTCCTTATCTCCGTTTTCGCGTACAGGCATTGCTAATTCGGCTACTCGTGTTCCACTTCCATAGAAAGCAAGCTTCTACTGGCAAGGTATGAACTCCTAACTATATACATAGCAATAAACCTAGCTATAATCACAATCACTTGTAATTTCTGCTGATTAATTAGTCGTTACAGTGTTGTGATAAAATACAATAAACTGTATTAGCAGGACCGCCGTGTATTCGGCGAGATGAGGAGCCTAAAAAAATGCTCTGGTGAAGATGTGGCGTATCATTTGCTAATCACAGTAGTAGCAGGTGATATATTAGTATACGAGGAAGCATCCTCTGGAATTACTTTATGTTTTTATACTGACGAATTTGGAACTTTTTAATCTAATTCTATCCTTTCATATTCTCTCAGCTGTATTGTTGCAAGCAATCGGAGCTTTTTCAGTTGCCACACCAAATACTGGTTGCTATGCTCTGGACAACTCCAGCCACATTCATGATTTTGTATCCTTTGAAACTCTTGCTTGTCGAATCATTAAGAAGGGGCACAAAATTGCAAAATTGACTATTTTCAGTGTGAAAGTCTAAGTTCACCTTATAATGTTACTTACCATGAGCCATATTTCAGTCTGCTCGAAGTTTGCAATTTTCTTATATTTCTTATTCTGAGAAATGGAATCTCCTTTAATAAATCACCATGATGGTGCCACAATACTTGCAAACTTATTATACGTTGTATTTTTTATCAGTCTCGATATCTGAATGCTTAAAACTGGTCATATTATTGGAGGTACATGCTGATCAATAGAGTTGATGTTTCTTAACCTGTGTTCCAGAGTAGTTGGGTTGGACAACCATTTGAGTATGAGGGGAAGGGGAAGGTGATGTCTGATTTGATATATGAGCTACTATGTCCACCAATAGTTTTGGTTATGTGCAAAATGTAATGCTCGTGAGTTGTGTAATGTAGGATGCTGACTTGGTGGTTCGATTTTGCAAAGATGTTGAGTCTAGATCGCAAGCGGTAATGCATTTAATGAAATTCTCATTCATTTATTCATTTATATATAACTAGCAGCTTATTTGCCCTTCCATTTTTCTCTCTCTTTTTGATGAAAAATGTTCTCTCTGACTCTTACAAACTTCTTATCTAGTAATCCGCAACTAGCTTCTTCCCTGCTTGTCATCTTTGCATCCCTAACCTGATGCATAAAAGACATCCTTCAGGAACTCATAGGTAATTAGATTTATAGCTATTGAGCATGCTAGTTGGTACTGATAATGGCATTTGTAATATCTAGTCACTTTAAAGAAAAATAAAGAGCAACAAAATTAAGTATGTTGGCTCTATACTCCACATATTTGTTTGAGCTTACTTTTGCATTTGCAATATACATGGTCATTTAAAATGCAGACTCATAGTGGGAATCTCAAAAGTGATCTGAGGATTGCATTCTGCTGGCAATAGACAGGGTTTAGTATTTTTTTTTTTGTTTTTTGATAAATGGTATGGTTTAGGAGTACATATATGTCACACTTAATGAATGAAAAATGCTAAATTAAGTTTACATAAACTCTAGTTTAGGAAGGTAAAGGTTTGAAGCCAGTTTCTGGAAGGTATGGAATAGGTTATTAAATGTTGAAATGACTGAGCTGCCTTGCCTTAAAAATTATATTGGTTAGAAAGATGACATTCTTATATATGTATATTTAGGTTTGCAAAATGTACCTTCATGTGTAGTCCTAATTCTTCTTTATGGGCTATGCATGTAGGAATATCTTATTGACAGACGGTAGGGAGACTCAAGCCTCTTTACCTGCTTTATGATATTGAATTAAGTGAACCACCTTATTCAAAAGTTTAACATGTTAGAGACGAGATACTTCTATTTATATATGACCTAATGAATAAAATAGACTCCAACTTCCACACTTTTTGCGAGTCGGTCCCCCCTACTTAGAATTGTCCAATTTTACCACATCTACTTGTTGAAACCCCACAAAATAAACACCTCTGACACCTGACTATGCTTATGCGGCATCAAAGTGGCTGACCAGGCTTAAGGGGTGTGTGAAACACTCATTTAAGTAGCATGGACGTGGTGGAGACTTGTGATGTTTATTCCGAATGATGAGAAGCCTTGTTTTCTTCCTAGTTTCCTCCGTGTGTCTTTCTTTCGATTTTTCTTCCACTTACTTTTATCCATGGTTGTGATGAATATTTTCTTAAGCTGGCACCTCTGAAGTGCCCAAGAGTAGAAATTAACTGCCTATTAAGAAATTGATGAACAAAGAAAAACTGGATTTGCTTGCGAGTGCCAAGTGGAAGTGGGGAAAATAATTCTTTCTTTTTACATCTGTTAGCGGAACTTCTAGATTGTTAGAAAGACCGAGCTGTTATACTAAGAAAATGTCTACTTAATTGAAATGTCCATAATATACTCTTGTAATTCTGATTCCTTATGCAATAAAGAGCGACCTTGAACTGCAGGGATATGTGGACTATGGCAGATTTGATAAACTCAACTATTTTCGTGCTGGGTCAGGACATGTCAGCTTTGTTCAGGTGAGCTTTTGAACTATTGGTGCATTTTAATCTTATACTGGAGAAACTTAAAGATTCATGCATGTTTCTGCAAGAGAGTGATACCTGTTAGTGCAATAGGGAAGTAAAAGATATTCTCTTTGTTCTCTTGACTGGCTCTTCCCCCCTCCTCCAATGGATTCAGACAGGCTTAAATGGACAAACATGGACAATGAGGTTCATATAACAACTCCACTTGCTTGGAATTGAGGCGTAGTTGTTGTTCTCTTGGCTGGCTGCATTATGTAGCCAACAGTAATTGACATAGGCTACACTACAGCGATGTGTGGCATGTGTTCTTCTCTTTTGCTATGTGATATTTGAAACCTCATGAAGCAAAGACACTGTAGTGATTCATGTAGATGGTTGTTTCTTGGTTCGCGGCAGCTGTTTACTACATAAACTGGAAATGACACTTACTAAGATGAGCTGAGGAAAGATCGATTCACTTAAGGGAAAAATTAATGGGAGGTTATATGGAGGGATTGTTTACTGACTTGTTAGCTGTAGGTTATTTGTAGAGTTAGTGAACATGTTTATACATACTAGTAATTGGTAGAAGCAAGCACTTTTAACTTGGATAGCTTTGCACTTCAATTTGTGAAGTATGTGCCTCAAGTCGCGTCAATCTGCTCCTCAGATGCACCAATTCCTTGCTTCATATTGTTGTGTACCCTACTTTTTAATTCCAATCTCATCTGCAAAGCTAATATTAATTTGCATTGTTTCTATTGTCCCCTAGGAATATTTCAATGGGGACCTGATGAATTGTGAGCAGAGTTATGATAAGATGGGCCGAACAGCTAAGGTTTGAATGATCTCTCTCGCTTACTATAAATATGAAACATTTTCTACTTTGTATTTTCAAGAAATCAAATTATAGATCCTCTGAAAAGATAGAAGTGTTGTACTGGGCCCTGTACAATTATCACATTTCAATATTTGGTTTCCATATATTGAACTCCAACACAGTTAGATTGAATCTCTCACTTTCTGGATTAATAGGTTAATATCATATGTGGAAACTGTCCTCATGGACAATGCAAAGGTATGTAAACCTTTCATTTGACTAGTAAGACAACTTGTTAATTTCAGCTTTATGAAATAGCCTCACTAAACTACATATTTTCCAAGTTAGTGTCTTTGATTTATCTCTAATATACCTCTGAACCACTCAACCGTTTCTGAATATTTAGATCTAAGATGGCATTATAGAAATGAAGCCTGGGGGTATTCATCAAACAAAATAAAAAGAACAAACATGAAGCCTGGGGTCAGCCAAGAGAAGCATAATTTTGGTATCACATATTAATGCACAAAATTTGCTAGCCGAAAAGATTGCTCAAAGTATTGCGAGTGTTATGAACAACCTTGGACAATTTCATTTTTGGTGGCTCATATATGTGTGACTTATCCAGTGAATGTCCAGTGTCTATTGCAGTTACTAGTGTGATCATTATTAGCTGTTGACCGATTTGTATTTCCTAAATACCCATTTTAGATTTTCCCATGGCTCTTCATGTGGGGGAAATTTTTCATGTTCCTCCTGTTGACAGTGTGAGGTGGTTCATGGAATTGAGTCATGAGGTTGATCTACACGTAACAAGTGCTAATTGGAGAATCTACCAGAGTTATGTTGGTTATTGAGGTGTCCAGGATGGGTTATCGGGGTATGCAAGAACAAAGCCAATCACCCTTGTAACTGAGTACATAACTCATTGAGGTGGACACACTGAATTGGTGAAGAGGCAAATGTCTTATCCTTGGTGCATTGGTACATTGTGTTCATATAGACAATGTCATTTTGTGGTTCCTGAATCAGGCAAGGACCAGCATACTGTTAAATTTGGTTTCAATTCCGGGGATGTGATAAAGCAGTAGGTCTTTTCTTGCTTAATAGTATGAGGGTTGCTAGTAGTGCTCGGGTCTGAAGTTCATCTTTAAATCTGAAGTGCATTATTGGACTAAATTTGTCAGTCACGTATCTTTCTCCCTGGTTTCTGTGTCTTCTGTACCTCACTACTAAACTTTGAAAGCTAATTTTTTTGAATGGAAATTTATTCTGGCGGCATAGGTAGCGATTTTACTGCAATTTAATGTATTAACTGAACTACTTCGCAGAAAAGGGTGAAGTGTTACAAGATGCTGGGTCCTTAAATCTTTTAAAAATTTGACTCAGGAATCCACTATCACCTCTTTGTTCAACAATGATGTGGGATTTGGAATTGTGGGCGGGAGTCTGTTATTGAATGCATCATTGTCTGTCATGCTAACTTTTTAGTGAAATTCAATTCCTCAGGTGGACTTGGATGCATCTGCAATGTTGAATATGAGTCTGCTTGTAGGTATTTTCCCCATCATTCAGCTGATATGCAATATGTTTTCACCACCCACCCAAAAAAAAAAGAAAAAAAAAAGAGAGAGAAACTGCATCTGAGGTGAGGTCTGAAAGATTGGAAAGTTATACTCTCTTCATTCCTTTGTATAACTGTATTTTACTGCCCTCATAGTTTTGAATATTAATGTGACATACATTACATTAGTGATATTGGAAAAAATATTAAAGTAATTATTGAAAAGTTAAACCCTGTTTGGATTGGCCTATTTTAAGTACTGTTAAGCACTTTTTTAGTGTTTGGGTAAATTAAAAAAATGCTAATAAGCACTTGATTTTATGCTAAAATGATAAAAATAAGTCAAAAGCCAATCCAAACAAGCTCTTAGTTTGATAGAGAAATCATTACCATAAAGTTTAAAATTTGATAAATTCATTCTTGAAAGTTGAGGAATTATATCTTGGAACATTTCAAAATGGAATGAGTGCCATATAAAATCAAACAGATGGAGTATATATTTGAAGTTGGGGGTACATTCCCTTTCCAGGCCCTTGCAAACAGAACTACTTAAGATTAACACTATTATCATGTTTTTTTCAGAATGGTAACAATATATCATCAGCATTAAGGGAATGATAGCCACCCTATTTACAATTTCAAAACAGGAGTGTTGTTTCTATTATCATGTTTCCTTTAAGCTGAATTACTCCCTCCGTCCAACAATAGTTGTCCACTATACTATTTTGGGATGTCCAACAATACTTGTCCACTTTATGAAATCAATGGATAATTTTGCACTTAGTTCCTAATTTACCCTTTATCATTAATTATAGTCATTTCCCTATTACACTTTTCATGTCATTACAATTACCCTTCTATTTATAGTTTCTTAAGAAGTGTGCAAAGTCAATAGTGAACAACTATTGTTGGACAGAGGCATGTGCTCCCACTTCCCATGCAACTGGGAGTGGGGTGAGCATGAAGTGGGTTCACAACTCTTATGGGTTGCTGTAATTGGGTAGTGTATTTCTCGGAGGATGGCATATTTTCTTGTCCAAGTTGCTCCAATGTACTTTTGGCAGTTCTTAATACGTCTCTTCAATATTTTGTTATAAAAAGTTTGTAACTCGAAGTATATTTCATTCTGTTTGTAAATCCTTATGTTTTGTTCTAATAGAAGACATAATTCATATTAATAAAATTGACTTAAGTGTATTGTGACTAAGACTAAGGGATTTCTTCTTGTAAAAGTTACTCTACTTTAATAACCTCTTGAGCTTTACTGCAATTTGTATGATCAAGTTAAGAGAACATCTCTTGCAATGCTCCATATATTTGCAGCCCAACCTACCCATTTACTCATTGTCATTAAATTTCATTAAGCTCATATTATGAAGTTTAGAATTATTTCTCTGATGTCTTTAAACCATGTATTCGTGACATGATATGAGGGCAAAGTTGACCAGTGAGGGTAATTGAAAAGGTTTGATTATTGGGGAAGAGTTACATAAAATAATGTTGATTCCATGATGACATCACTAAATGTAGGGGTTTTAAAAATGCATGATTTCTGAACTTCAATTTCGAACTTGTCTAGCTGTATGTCTAATATGACTTTTGGACAGAACTGTCGTCGAACTTGCCGTTCCATGTGAGAAACCAGGTCTGCGGGTCTTTGAAGGTTTCACTGTTGGTTTTCATCCACGGTCATGGGAAATTGTAAGGGAAACATTTCTTCTTTCACACAGTACCTTCAAACTGTCACACGTGGCTTATGGTCTGGAGGCCCTTGCTTGTGAATTCACAGGTTTACAATGGCTTGACTCAATTGGGCTATGAAAAAGCTCACAGGGAATTCAGGTAATGAGAATTATCTCATTACTTATAAGTATCTTATATATACATACATATATATATATATATATATATACACACACACACACACACACACACACTTTCTTTAACTAGAATCCTGCCTTCATTTATTCATTATTTGCTGAATAGTAACTGCTCAATTTGTCAGATTGGACCCCATTTTTATTCTTTTATTACTTAAAATTCAAAAAGTTAGGTTATCTTTGGATTTGGGTCCACTTTATGTTAACAACTGTAATTTCTTAACTATACGCTTAAACTCCATGTGTATTCAAGCTAAGACAATCAAAAGGAGACACTGATATTATTACTATTGTTGTTGCTTCTGTTTATTTGTTTTTAAAGAATTTTTTCTTTGTACTTATCTTGATCTTGTGCTGCTTAAATCTTCAAATAAATCAATTGTATCTTTATTTTTCTAGTCTGACACTCCACCTAGGTAGGGTTATATGGTTACTCCTGCATTTTATCTAGGAATGTGTTTTATTCTTGAGGTTGATTCTGTAACAGGATAGATCCTGCCAGACATAAGATGTTGAATTGGATAGAAATGCTGGCTGAAATGAAAGGCATACACACATATGCTGATGTTATCAACCCCCCACCCCCCACCCCCCAAAAAAAAAAGGGGGGGGGGAAATTGAAACAAAGAAATCTGGTTTTAGGTGGCCATATTTTGTCACGTGTCCAAATCTGCTTTCCTTTAATTTGATGTTTGGGTTCTCTTTGCTGTAAAATATCATTTGCCTCTTCATGATTCCACAGAGATGCTTTGCATTTATTTAGGAATGTCCTTTGGTTCAGGTGCCAAGCAATACCCTGGAGAGGACTGATCGTCATCCTAGTCTTTTTGTTGGTCAACTTTGCCAACAGTTTACCACTGCCTGTTTTATACTTGTCCTGTTCTTGCAGGATGGAGACATCCCATGTTTTATCATAAGCCGCGTAGCTACAGCAGTTGTTATCATATCAGTCTAAAATGCATGAAATTATTTCAATTGATTCTTCATTGTTCTCTTGTAGCTTCAACACTGCACAAACTCGTGTAGCCCTTTATATGACCGCGATTGCTTCGGTTTCAGGTTCTGTGCAGAAACCATTAGTAAAGGTGCTTAAACTTTTTATCATGCATTTTATTATTTTTGTGCTTGAATGTTATTCACTTGGAAATCACTGATTTCCTCTTTAATGCCCCTCTCCATATACATGTTAGGTTTCTCCGGAGCTAGGATTAAAGGTCACATTATCTGGTTCAGCAGCAACTGGGGGATCACCAACAACTTTGTCACCAACATCATTACTGATTGACTGGAGATGTATAATGACTTGACAATTCTGCTTATAAGACTGTTTTGGGAGATATTTCTTGTTTCTCTATTATATTATCTTTTGGCGCAACTTTGTTCCTCAATTGCTGATTGTATTTTCAGGTGATGTTGCTCGTGATAACCCTTATGAAGTTGAGGTCACCATTCCTATAGAAAACTATGACCCTGTTCAGTTCACCCTCACAAAGATGTGTGGTAAGTGCAATCTGGCCTTTATTCAACTTCACTTGTATGTGTGCCAGTTATACTCCTTCCGTTTCATTTTATGTGTTTTAGTATGATTTTTGGAATATGAAGAAGACTTTTGAATCAACGGTCTTAATTAAAGTTGTATATAACATACCAAAAATATCCTTTGAATCTTGTGGTGTTAAAGATGTCTTGTCATTCCTACAACGGAATGTCATTAGGGGTAAAATGAGGATGTTGGAATTAAAAAATCAAGTAAATATAGAAATTAGAAAGAGACATTCTTCTGAAGCAGACTTAAAAGGAAAGTAGGATACATACATTGAAATGGAGAGAGTATACACTTCTCATTGATGAGCATACATTATGCTCATAGAGCAAGGCATGTTTGAGTCTTTTGACAATGTGTGTCTATGATATCAATCAACTAGCAAGCAAAGCAAAAGCTTTAAAACAAAAGGGAAAAAATAATGTGGTTTAGCCTCATAGCTAACCATCTACAGCCCTCCCCTGTCCTTATCCACCTTTTCCGCCATATGAGAATCTATTGGTAGAGATATTTTACTGTGCCGGGGGGGGGGAGGGGGGGGAGGAGGACACCTTAGTAGTGTGTTTCAGCGGAGTGAATATCTGGTGTTAGGGATGGTTTTGTGCAATATGAATTACGTAGTTCTAGCAATGCTATGTCTTTTTTACCTGGTGCACTACTATTCTGAGTGTTTGTTCCATTTAAATCATGATAATGGAATGAAATTTCTGCAGAATATCAGCAAAGCGATGGTGGAGGTGCTACAGGAGGATGGGCCATATTTGGAGTATTATCGTGCATGTACGTCATGTTCCTTTTCAGCCTTTTATTTTCACGTTGAAATGTCTGAGTGAGTTCTTGTGGATTTTATGCAGCTTTACATCATATGTTTTGCTGCAGCATAACTGGTTATTTTGCTTAGGAAGTTGTTGATTCTGTAGTTGAAATTTATATTTTTAGTAGTGTTTGTATATTCAGATGCTGCTCTTGGTCATCTTGTGTAGCATCATATAAATATGACATATTGTGTGGAACAGAGTATTAGTTGCCTCAACACTATTCTGCTGTGGAGGGTTCATTTACAAGACACGAGTGTATAATCAGGTAGGCTTACTATTCATGCTTTTTGCTGTATGCTATCCTTTCTCTTTTTGTCCAGCTCTGTTTTCAATTGTATTATTCTTTTGCAACATTTACTAATTCATTAAATCTCATTTTTACAGCGTGGGCTTGATGCATTGCCTGGAATGACACTTTTATCTGCATGTTTGGAAACTGTAAGTCTACCTACTTGGAAGTTTTAACTTCTTGGGATGGTGTGGAAGGCTTTGGGTGAGCTATCACTGCATTGCCAAAATCATGGGAGCCGAGGGGTATATGCTAAGGGGAAATGTTATTTTGAGCATGCTGTGAAAATCATGGGAGCCGAACTGGTTTAATGTGCTGATTTGATCTCTTTAGCACGTTCTAACACTGCACTTTTGGAACTGAAAAATAGGTAAGCGGGGTAGGCCATGGCTATTCACGACCAGAAGATGTCAATAATCCATTTGCAAATCAAGCTTCATGGGAGCGTCAACCTGCTTCTACTCAAGCAACAGGGAGAACTAGTGAAGTTAGGTACGGATCAATCTGAGTCCTGTTTGTTTCTAAATGGAAGAGCTTTTCCACGTCCCAGGTCTAGTGTACCAGGTTATAAAAATGTGCACAAGACGATCTGTCCTTGGAAGCAGCTGATATTTGGTGCTCTGCTTCTGCATACAAAACGTTGCTTAAGCCTTCTCATTTTTGTGGCGGTAAAGATTGAGAAACCATGATTTTTTTTGTAAACTCTGATAGATCAGCAATTTTGGTATTAATTCCCATCCGTGAAGCATAATGTACAATTTAAGATACTTGGAAATGCTGGCCGAGTGGCCGTCATGCTACCTGTAACAGCTTTTATTTTAAGCTGCCAACAGATTCCTCTCTGTACGTATAGAGAGGAACTTGAAATTTTAATGATTACTTTGTTAGTGGTGGTGCTCACGCAGATTATTAGGCGGGAATGCTGTGAACTTGAAAGATTATGATTAATTGGTATGGTACTATGCATACATACTTATGAAACACTTGCTGCTTTTTGACACTCTTGTTGAGTTGACAAGATTAATGACAATAATGTTTCGCATCCAAGAGCTTAACACGAGAGTCAGATTCCTGTGACACCACCTCAAGTCAATCGTCTGCTTTATCTTTTTAAGTAAAAATAAGCATACCATCAAAGTTGTCAATAGACGATATTGCTTATTCTAGACTTCTAGTATGTTGCTGCGTCTTTTCACATCCGGATAAGTCTCAACATTTACCAAACCACCATAACAAATATCTAATTTAGTGAGTCGAATATAATTAAAAATAACATTCTATGGGGTTGTTTGGTAGAGGGTGCATTAACTCTGTGTATGAGTAATACCTTGTTCGATACATTTTTTCATTACACCATTGTGTATTAAGGTGTGTATTAATAATATCATGAATTTCTAGATATTAGTAATGCAAGAGGTTTTAATGCACACATTAACATGGTTAATTAAAGACCCCATTGCTCCTAAGTTATTATTTTTTACAGCTTTTCCATCATAATTGTGAATGGTATCTTTGTAAATAAATATTTTTATATATGTAATATATGCTATTCTAAATACACCAAATCAAACAATGCATACGAAATAATTTATGTTTAATTAATGCAAGCATTAATAATACATTTTATTTAGCATTATTCTTATATGCTATAACAAACGAACCCTAAAAGAGGTGGAACTCCCCATTCCCTCTGATGCGTGCGGAGAATCAAGACTCCCAAGTTCAATTTTTGGGTTTTCTAAAGCTTATTCACCTTGCTTTAAGCTGCTTTAGGAAGGTCTTACTTGCAACTATGTCAAAAGAGAATATAATACAGTTCGTTAATTGAGACAGCCAATCTGCTTGAACCCCTTTGTCCTCAATGTGTTAAAGAACAAATTTGGCATAAAAATTATTCTGTATATGTTTGAAAAAGTAGAGGAGCAGTTCTCCTAACATTTTTATTTTTAATCATTTCATTAGACCAATCAGATTTTACCTAATATTCGCTTTATCCAGTTATTGGTCACCTTCCTTACTTCTGTAATGCATGAGAGCAAACAGAGACCAAGTTACCCTAGTCCTCAGTACTACTATATTTTAATAAACGGCGATTTTCCATTTATATTTTTCTAAGAAATTGTCAATAGCGTAGCTTAAATTTAGTACATAACAAAAAAATAAAAAAAAATTCTTTGTTTGACCATCTTGATTAATATTTAGGTGAATGCAATAAAATTTAGCTGAAAAAGTTGACTATATCATCTAGTAAATAGTATTCAAAATAAGTAAATTACATACGTTAGGTAAATCTAATATAAAATTATACTAATGCAATTCAAAACTTCCTCGTGAAATTGCGAAGAGGAAAAATGTAATGACCCGAAAGGTCATTTTGGTAATTTTTCGTGGAAATGACTATTTTGCCCTTTCGGTAGTTGCCCCGAGTCCCATGTTTTGTGGTTGTAAAGTTGGTTTGAGGAAAAGTTGGTAAAAAGTTGAGTTTTTGAGAAGTTGGGTTTTTATGAGTTAAAGTTGGTTAAAAAGTGCTTTTTCGAGTCATTTGGAGTTTCGGGACTCGGATCGGATTTCCGTCGATTCCGACAGTTTTAGAATGTCGAAACGGGTCTGTGTGAAGTTACGGAGTCGAATTTGGAGTTGAAACGAAGAATTGAGGTCCTAAGTTGCTAAAGTTGTGAAATTTTGATAAAGAGTTGACTTTGGTCAACATATGAGGTTCCGAGGCTCAGATTGAAATTCCGAGAGTACCGTTGGTTTCGGGAGGCGATTCTAAGTCTAAAATGAGTCTTGGTTGAATTTTTAGACGCTCCGTTTGAGTTTCGAATTTTTTGGCGTTAAACTAGTTTCTTGGCATTTTATTGAATTTCGGGGCAAGGAGTCCTCGAATTCAAATTCCGACGGTTCCATTGAGTCCGGAACGTCGAAGTTAGTGGGGGTACATATTTAGTTTGTGTGCACGAGATTCCGAACGAATCCCGAGGGTCCAACGGGGACTTAAACTTTGGTGTTATTGTTGTTTCAGCTGCTGTGTTTTTTTTAAGCTGCAACAGCAGTCTTTTTTTCTTATTTTTAAAGCCAAAAACAGTAGCCAATTCCCCCAACTTGAAAAATACCCATTTCTCCATTTTTAGACTTTGAGAGCTCGAAAATAAGTGATTTCAAGTGGGTTTTCGCAAGGAATTCATTGGGTAAGTTATTTCCAACTTATATCTTTGATTTCCATCGATTATTTATGGATTTTAACATCAAAATTTGAGATCTCAACTGAAAAATTTGGGGTTTTTTGCCTAATCCGAATTTAATAGAAAATTTGAGTTTGTGAACTCATTTCAACTCCTTTTTCGAAACGGTTTTCACTATTGGATTCTAAATTTCTTGGGGAACATTTTTCACTAAAAATTTCCAGATTTCGAGAATATTTTTGGAACGAGATTTTTTTGACCATTTTACCCTTTTCTCCAAATTTCACAATATTGGTGTTGTTAGATTCGTATTGATTGTGAGATTCCATTTATGAATAGATTGTGGTGATTTGGAGCGTGCTCGGAAGGGTAAAACTCAAATTTGAGTTACTAGTTGAAGTGTTTTGAGGCAAGTGACTTCTAAACTTTGTTAAACTCTTAGACTACACATGACTACTTTCCTAATTGTGTTGGGGAGTAATGGGGATTGAGGATGAGTTTTATTTGTTGATTGAAATTGTTGTAATTGAAAGATGGGGAATAAAACGAGCTAAATGTGTTATATGTGACTTGAATTTGTTGAATAAGTCATGTGATAACTGATATTGAGGGGATAGAAGAGCATGAATAGGCTATGATTGATACAAACATTGATGTTGAGACAGATGATGTGTAATACTATGATGTGGTCGTGATATGATTGTGATTGAGACAGATTATGTGTAATACTATGATGTGGTCGTGATATGATTGTGATTGAGACAGACGATGTGTAATGCTATGATGTGGTCGTGATATGATTGTGATTGAGACAGACGATGTGTAATACTATGATGTGGTCGTGATATGGTTGTGATTGAAACAGATGATGTGTAATACTATGATGTGATCGTGAAATGATTGTGATTGATGACATGTACATATTCATTATTCATCCCATGTGTGAACTATCTGTTGCATGAGTTCTGAGACACTGATATGAGGATGGATGGATATGAGACACGGTTGAGACTAGCTCCGGCTAGAGATATATGAGATGGACTAGCTCCGGCTAGCGATTTGGATGCCGATGGGATCTGGTTCCGGCGGTGATACATGGTCCATGTGTGGCCCCCATGGGTTCTGATTTGAGTATTCAGCGCGGTCTGATTACGTCAACAGATGTGTATCTTAGGACAGACATGCATCACGACTACATGACATCATTATTGCATTTGCATCGCATTTGACTTCATCTTTGTCTGTGGTATGTGGATTTTTCCTATTTCCCCCTCTTCATGTGATATATGATCTATTTGCTCTTACATGAGGATATGAGATTGATGTTGAGACACTGTTGGATATATCTGTTGATTATAAATTGTGTAGTATAAGTTGTTGGTTCGCTGTTAGAATGAAGTTTCGGTGGTTCGGTTGGGATTGAAAGGAGTTGTTTGTAGCTGCTAGTTTAGCTTAGTTTAGTGTTACTTGCGAGTACCTGTTGCTTTTGGTACTCACCCTTGCCTCTACACAATTGTGTAGGTTGACAGCTCTATCAGATCCGACTTATTACTCATCTTCAGATTAGAGCTTCCAGACTTACTTGAGAGGTAGCGGTTCATTCCAGACGTGCCCTCAAGTTATCTATATTTATTGTTCTGTTCTATTCTAGAACTTTACTATGAGACTTGTATATTTTATTCAGATTCTGTATTAGAGGTTTGTACATGTGACAACCAAATTCTGGGGTTATGTTGAGTTCATTTAAAGACTTCCGCTTATCTTTCTTTCTTATTCTTGTTTTATAAATTCTGTATCGTCAGGTTTTTGGGTGTTAGGCTTCCGTGTCCGGTGGGGTTTGGGCACGTGCCATCACATCCGGTTTTGGGGTGTGACAAAAAACAAAAAGGTATCTTCATGAGATCATACATGTTTAATATATAAAACCAAAAAGAAAAGAAGAGGAATTAAGAAATGGCGTGTGTAAATAGGACCTGGAGCAATTGAAGTCAAATAATAATATTGTGGAGGTCCTCTTTTGTCAACAAAGCAGGTGGATTCTGTCCCACTTTTATCAACTCTTTTTGTTATATAGCCATGTTTATCATCTTTGCATCCCTTGAACCCAAAGCAATCAATTAAGCTGTGTGTGGGGTTGACTAGATCAAGTCATTATTTAGCGCTTAAATAATTTTATAACTTAAATTTCTCTAAAACTTTTCTCGATGGCATGACTGAAACAATTAAATAAAAAATCTGGATTTTGGGTAGGAGAGGAGTAAGCCAATTCATGTATATTAAATATATATTATTGATTTACAGAAGAACCTTGAATATTTTCTCCTAAAATTCATTTGATTAACAAACCTTGATTATTTTATTCACTTAAAGTTTGGATATCAACTACTCTCTATACCATATTAGTTGATCATTTTTCATTTTGTACGGTGCTTAAGAAATTATAAATAAGAAGATAATTTACTAAATCACCCTTAATTAAACAACTTTGTGACAATTTTACAAACAAATACGAACACATTCAAAAAGATTTAATTGCAAGGGTAATATAGAAAAAAATTGATTAATACTTTCTTGATTTAGTAAGGTGGACAACTAATATTAGTGTAATGATCAATTAATATGAGACAGAGGGAGTATTTCTCTATCACTTTTAACATATCAAGAAAAAACAATTTATTTTTTCATGTTTTGCCCTTAATAGTAATGACTTATTCCTCAAATAATTTATTTCAAGATTCAACACTAAACATCAATTCATATGGATGATATGCTAATATAGTCATATCAATTATTGTTTGTTAAGAAGTGTGCAAAGTTTAAAGTGGACAAGTAAAAGTGAATGGAGAAAGTAATTTACAATGTTAAAAAATATTGCCAAGTCAACAATTAGTAAGATAAGTAGTCATAATCAACTTCATGTCATGCATTACAATTGAATTGATGTTGCAACATTTACAGTAGCTGGTGAAGGTGTTTTTACTATCATGGACCAGATCAATCATCATACTTGTTAAAACACAAGTTTGCATCAATTGGTAAATAATGCAGAAATTAATATACTTATCCCAACTAAAAAGTTACCAACTCCATTTATTTCCGACTCTTCTTCCATTGAACACACTATATATACTAGTGAAACTCCATTCAATTTCATCACAGCAAGCTAGCCTTCTTCAATATTTTATCTTGTTTCTACAACAAGTCCTTAGAACTTAAGTTCAAAATGGCTCAGTCTACGAGCTTCTTCGTTCTCGTAGCTCTTCTTGCTTTTGCACCAATTTGTTTCTCTTTTAAGAGTGACAATGATAACCTATACCCGCAATACTATTATAAATCATGCCCACAAGCACAAGAAATTGTCAAGTCTGTTGTTGCCAAGGCTGTTGCCAAAGAAGCCCGAATGGCTGCTTCGTTGCTGAGGCTCCATTTTCATGACTGCTTTGTCAAGGTAAAACATCTCTCTGTTACTAAATATTTGTCACTTTGTATTATAACAATGCACACTAGTACACAACTGAAAATTACTTTTGCTATGAACAAAATATAGAGATATGTGCCATAAAAAGTTGATAGGCTAGCTAATCATTTTTCTTACTATGCTTTGTAGGGGTGTGATGCGTCTTTGCTTCTGGACAGCAGGGGAAGCATAGTAACTGAAAAGAGATCAAACCCCAACAGGAACTCAGCTCGTGGATTTGATGTCATTGATGATATTAAATCTGCACTGGAGAAAGAATGCCCACAAACTGTCTCTTGTGCTGATATCTTGGCACTTGCTGCAAGGGACTCCACTGTTTTGGTAAGTAGTGATGAGTGTCGCATAAATTAAAGTTGATCACTCATACTACTTCTCTTGGAGGGGCGAAACAGAGCTAATTTTATTTTGTTTTTTAGGCTGGTGGACCCAACTGGGAGGTTCCATTGGGAAGAAGAGACTCCAGAAGTGCCAGTTTAAGTGGTTCCAACAATGATATTCCTGCTCCAAACAACACATTTAACACCATTCTCACTAAATTCAAGAGACAAGGGCTTGATGTTGTTGACCTTGTCGCGTTATCTGGTAAAAGCTAGTCCCTTTAATTTCTTTGTTACTACATAGTTATTCACATGTTTGAAATCTTAGTTAACATCGATGTATTATTATGCAGGGAGCCACACAATTGGAAATTCAAGATGTGTCAGCTTCAGGCAAAGGCTCTACAACCAGTCAGGAAACAGTAAACCAGACACTACTCTGGATGAATCATATGCTGCCCAATTGCGCAATAGATGCCCAAAATCTGGTGGTGACCAAAACTTATTCTTCTTGGACTTTGTTTCCCCAACAAAATTTGATAACAGCTACTTCAAGCTCTTGTTGGCTTCAAAGGGTCTGTTGAACTCTGATCAAGTTCTTACTACTAAGAGTGAAGAATCATTAGCCTTGGTGAAGCAATATGCAGAGAACAATGCACTTTTCTTCGACCACTTCGCCAAGTCTATGGTTAAGATGGGAAACATTTCTCCTTTGACAGGTTCCAGTGGAGAAATCAGGAAGACATGCAGGAAGATCAACTCGTCTTAAGTTGTTTCGTTATGTATCTTTCCATTAATAATCTTCTTTATTGTTGTTTTGTTATCTATCTTTCCCCTGTTCTTTTTACATTCTTCATTTTTCGTCCTTGAGATCACATCGCTTGTTCCATCTGTTTTTAATAAAGAATCTATATTCTATACCATTGTGGATCTTATTTTTAGTAGCTTTCACACTTCATTTTAACACTTCATGACAAAGTAAATTAACTGAAACCAAGAAAAGAAGCTACACATATTACATAGAATATTATGCAATATAGTACAATAATTCAATACCTTCAGATCAAATTACATTAAATATTATACTATTGATTAAGAGAATATTCGCTCTCGGATTTTCAACTAATCATATCATATCATATTATCTAATTCATTCTCTCAATCAATATTTTCTCAACTAAATATGTCAGTTAATATCTCGAAAAGGATTTATTAAGTAAAGTCATTGAACTTTGTTTTGTATCAATAAAATTACTTAGCTTAAGTTTTATATCAATAAAATCACTTAACTAAATTTATCATTAAAAAATTGATATAACAAATTAAATTATTTTTTATACCATGTAAATATGAAATTCATAAATAAATAAAATTAAAGAGAACTCATAAAAAAAATTACGGAAAACTTAATTAGGGAAAACCATATTATGGTATTAGCAAGAATCATGTACCGGTTTAAAGATGATGTATGTACATAAACATAAACAGGTGGTATATATTTGTGTGATGCATGCGAAGAAAATAAACTTACAAATGTTTAAGCACTGCGAATATAACTTAAATGGTGGTCCCAAAACCGGGTATCTCTGCACTTGGGGCGCCTGCAAATACTTGATAAAAGACATAGACAGTTCGTTGATCATCCTATACCGCATTAAATAATTATCCTCATGCGACTAAAATCAGTTTTTTCCAAGCATAAATCTTATTCTGTTCATGTTTGAAAATAGTGGCGAAGCAGTTCTCCTAACCTTTTTTACCTGAATATATTTTTGTCCATTCATTGGACCAAATTTGGATTCACCTAATATTCACATTCACTTATCCATTTGTAGGTTAGCTTGCTGTGCTTATGTAACGCATGAGAACATACATACAACAAATTATACTAATCATAGGCACATATCATTTTAGTCTAATTGTTTGACATAATAATTTTTTTTGGCCTATTTAGACCATATGTTTAAGATTTCCAACTTTGATATGTTTTACTACAAGCTAACTGATAACTCCATGAATGGAGATTAAGACTTGGAGAATTTACAAAGCATTTGAAAGAAGAAGAAGGAAGAAGATTGTATTAATGTCTTGATGCAGTGAATCTGTACATACATGCTTTTATATACTACCCACACTATGAATGAATACAAAATATCTCTAACAAACTTTGTAACTAACTATTGCCATGTCATCAGCTAGTAACTAACTTTTGGAAGCTTCTAACTAACATAACCATAAGCTTTGTTATTTCTGCATTTGCTAACACTCCCCCTCAAGCTTATGGTTGAAATATATTTTTCATTCCAAGATTGCTTAGTAATAGATGGTGTTGTCCTTGTCCAAGACTCTTTATGCGTAGATCAGCGAGTTGATGCTTGGTGTTAATATATTCTGTCTCCAGTATTCCTTGACAAATTCTTTCTCTTACAAAGTGACAGTCTATGTCTATGTGTTTTGTACGCTCATGAAAGATAGGATTAGCTGCTATTTGTATTGCTGCTTTGCTATCACATACCATTTTTACTGGTACTGTTATATTGACTCCTAACTCTTTGTATAAGCCTATCAACCAGGTTATTTTAGCTGCATATGTGGCCATGCTCCTGAATTCTGCCTCAGCTGAACTTCTTGACACAGTCCCGTGCTTCTTAGACTTCCATGATATTAATCCTCCTTCAAACTTCACTAAAAACCCTGTAACTGATTTTCTTGTTTCAAGACATGCCCCCCAGTCAGAGTCACAATAAGCTATTAGCTGTGTAGTTTGTTCTGCTGGCATTAGTAATCCTAGACCAGGTGTTTCTTTGATGTATTTTACTGCTCTTAATGCTGCCTCCATATGTGACTCCTTAGGACAATGCATGAACTGGCTAAGAACTTGTGCAGTAAAAGCAAGATCAGGCCTAGTCATAGTCAGATAGAGAAGCTTTCCTACCAACTTTTGATACATTGCAAGATAGAGGCTTGAAATCTTAAAGCTCTGGCCATATCAAGAATGGTTCTGTGCTTTCTTTCAGCAACCCCATTTTGCTGTGGGGTATACACACAAGTAATCTGATGTAGAATGCCCATGTTACTCAATAGAGTTTGAAACTCGGTGCTGAGGAACTCACAACCATTATCAGACCTGAATGTTTTAACATTTGTGGAAAATAAGTTTTGAACTCTTGTAAGAAAATGTTGTATAACAACTATGGAATCAGTTTTTGAAGCAATCAAAAATACCTACTTATATCTGTTGAAGTCATCTACAATTGTAACAAAATACTTATTTCCATTGTGAGTAGGAACTTTATAAGGTCCCCACAGATCACAATGATTCAATTCAAATACAACAGTAGTGTTATGAACACTTAAAGAGAATGAAAGTTTAGATTGTTTAGCTACAGGGCACACAGTGCAATGAGAATAATCTGTGAAGTTTAGGGATTTGAGAGACTCATGCCTCCTTATTACATCAATATGAGCATGTCTTAATCTCTTATGCCAAACATCACTAGAAACAGATTGATCAGATACATGAGACACACTAGTAGTGTGAACTAACTTCTGTGAACTAGACCTGTGACTTGATTCTTCATGAATGATGTAGAGTCCATGCTCTTCTTTACCAATCCCCTTCACCTGACCAGTGGAGAGGTCCTGGAAAATGCAAAAATCAGGAAAGAATGCTATCATACAGTGTAATTCTTTGGTGAGTTTTGAAACTGACAACAAGTTGCACTTGAACTCAGGGATAAAGAGAACATTAGATATGGAATTGTTTGTGAAGACATAAGACCTTCCAACATGAGATACTGATACATCTTTTCCATTTGGTAGGTGTACTCTATTATCTGTATGAGAAAGTGTCTTCTTTGCTTTATCAACAAGGTCCATGTTAGATGTAATATGATGAGAGGCTCATGTATCAATAATCCATTTACTGCTATAACTACTACTACAAGATAAAGTTGTAAGAGAGCTACATGTATTTGCAACAGTGGCAATGTTTGCAGAAGACTCTCCTACCTTGTCTCCTCCAGACTTTGTGAGTAGGTGTAATATCTGTTGATATTGATCTTAAGTGAAGAATGCACCACTAGTTGATCCTGCACCAACTCCTGATTGACATGAGTCATTTCCACACTCTTCTGAAATAGTAGCTTGATTAGCATACACATTTGGCTTCCTTTTAGATTTGAAATCTGCAGGATATCCAACAATCTTATAGCATTGTTCCCTAGAACGTCCTTTGCACCCACAATGCTCACACACAAGCAATGACTTCCTGGCTTTGTAGCTTCCTCCAGAAGTACTAGCACCACTGCTATATCCACTACCAGATCCTCCTGAGTATGAACCACATGCTCCACTTGGAAATGAGTTTTTAGATGTACCTGCTCCACCACTGTAGGTGTTGCTTCTATGAGTATGAGTATACATTGTTGTTCCTTCTATCATTCCTGATGTAATGACCCGGAAAATGATAGAGTGAAACTAGAACCTCACATGTGAGTTTGGAGTCGAGAACTTAATGAAATGATAATATTTGAATTTGACCCAAAAAGTTCTTAAAAATGTGCTTCGGAAGTTACCGGAAACTTGTTTAGCTGTATATAAAAAGATCCGTTTCGTTTTTCGAAAATCCGACTTCATATTCTTGTTTAGGGGGTCAAATTGAGTGGAAAATGGGTCTAACCCAAATTTTAGAGCAACCATATCAAAATCCGAAATTTCCAAGTGAAGCCTTTTTCGAGGGTCTACTTTGGAGGGTCATATCTCCTAGCACACAAATTATTTGGGTGGACAATAATATATCCATGGAAAGCCCTTTGAGTTAGCTACCTAACGCACTTCGTTTCATCTCATTCGGAGTTCGGATGAAGAAGTTATGCCTATTTTCGTAAAATCTGTTCGGCAGGAAAAGACAATTTCCAGTAGGCGTGGTTACTGTTCACCCGCCTCATTTTTTTTCTAAGTGTTGGACCATTCTTCCAAAGGACATATATTATTTCCTAGATACCATTAGTTCAATTCCCATCCCTAAAACATTTCCCTCTCTACAATCCTCCATTAAGAAGAAGAAGAAGTGGGAGTTAGGGCTTTGGATTCAAGGCTTTCTTCATCAAATTTCGTGGGAGATCATAGCAAAGGTATGGTGACCCTTGATCCTTGATTATCTTTCCTTCAAGGAGTCCATTAAAAAGGGTTTCAAAAGTCTTCAAAGAACAAAACTTCTATTTTTCATTCTAGGTATGGGTTCATGGGTAAAATGTTTTCAAAGTCATTATATTGGTGAATTGAAGTTGTATTTATGATTTTAAGATGATTTTATATGAAACTTCTTCAAGAACCCATGTTTTCATTAAAAGCCTCGAATTTGCTTATGAAGTGGGTTTAATGCCTATGATTTAATGTTGATGAAATTGTGTTTAGATCGGATTGTATTGTTGATTTATATGGTTTTGTATATCTATTTATGATGAATTGTTGGTATATGGATGAATTGAGGATTGTGGCCTTATGGGCAAATTATGGGTGAATCACCTTGTGGTGATAGAATTGTTGGGAATTGAGTAATGGTTATTATGGCTTTGGAGGATGGTAAGTTGGCTTAATCTCATATTATGGATAAAAAATTGTTCTTGCTTGGTTTGATTCACTTATGGTGGAGGTGTTTAATTATGGAATGTATTGTGACCATGGCCTTAAAGGCATAGTATGAGAAATTGGAGTGTTATCATGACATTATATGAATGAGAATTCAATGAAGATAATGTGATCATGTTATGAACGTAAATGTGTTGCTATTGAAAGATTATTTCTCAATTTGACACTCATGAATGTTGATGATAGAATATGAAGGATTCTTCAATATAAAGTATACCTTGAATTGGTAGGGCTTATGCATCATTTTCTTGTACAAATGATTATATTATTGATTGTTGAATCCTCGGATCGGTAGGCTAGTGGCACCCTTCCACACGAGCTTATAATGAACCTTGGAATCGGTAGGCCTATGGCACCTTTCCATGAAGGTTAATGATGAGACTTGAACCGGTAGGCCCATGGCACCCTTTCAAGAGGAGTTAATGAGCTTTCCTAAATGAACCTTGAAACGGTAGGCTTAAAGCACCCTTTCACGTGTTAATAAATGTAATTTGGAGTTGGTAGGCCAATGGCACCTCTCATATGTGATAATGTCAAGGTAACGAACTATTCTATGGGAATGTTGGCTAAGCACCGAGTGGATTTGGTTAGATGGAAACTCCCCCAATAGTTAGGCATGAGTTTCAATGATCGTCTACCTTATCCCATAAACTATGTGCCCGCATATGTAGCTAGTGGATCCATTAAGCTATATACCGGTCTTCCTTAGGCAAGTAGACCACCTCTTTACGGTGTGGGGACTTATGACACCGGATTCCATGACAAGCTCTCATGGTCTATGTCGGTTAAACGCTTACTTCCCATCATGCGAGATTTCATTATGGTTTCTTGATAGGTTCTACAAAGTGTAGGTAGTAGTATGGGATGCTACCTATACATTGCACGAGTAGGCTTGGAGAAGGTCATAGTGAGTTTCTCTAAATCCTAATGTATGTGATACAATTGTGGCCTAAATGAGGTTATTAAAGAATGTTGACTCTCAAATGCTTAATATGAGATGCATGCTATACTTGGGTTATATTACGAGTTATTTTCCCTTGTCATGTCTTAAGTGATGATATACCTCTTATGTATGAATATTGTGCAAAGGTGAAAGAAAGGAATGATAAGTTACCTTAAGTGACCTTAATGTGGTGCCTTAGTATGGATGGTGGTATGGGACGTCATCCATACATTGCACGAGGTATAGCATAAGGGTTTCTTGAGGTGAAGGTCCGAGGTAAAGGTTTTTATGTTGAAATTGTTTAAAAGTAATATTATGACTTACTTGATGTTTATGCTTGTATTGTATGTCTTTTATGCAACGATTCATGGTACTTCAAACAGTGGCATAATGCATGGTTTCTAACCAAAATGTCCCTTTTAAAGCATGTCTTGCATGGTCATCATACTTAGTACATTTTGTGTACTAACCCATATTCTTCATATTTTTACTATAAGTGTAGGTTCCGACAAGTGATCCCTCCTAGCTAGTTTGAAGTGTTGGATTGCTTTCCTCCAAGACTTGGTATGTCCTCATGGATTCGAAGATAAGACTTTTAAGTTCTTTTGTTCATGTAATAGACTTAATAGACTTCTTTTGATTGTAAAGGGCCGTGTCCCTACTTATGTTTTATGACTGTGTCTAAGATGGCCATGTGAGACTTAGACTTCCGCTGTGTGTTTTTAAAGTTGTTTTAATGAAGTTTAAATGTGTGGATGTAAATAAGTTTTTTATTTTTATTCCGCACTATTTTCATTATTGAATGCAATGAATGACTATGTGGCTCGTATAAGACCCCTTCGGGGTCGAATACGCCATGTTACGACTAGGGGTACTCTCAGGTCGTGACACCTGAGCTATTAGAAGCAGAACTAGCTAGATTTCTCTGACTTTCTTGGTTAATAATAAGGGCATAAGCCTTGTTAAGTGTTGGCATTGGACTCATCATGAGAATCTGGCTTCTAGGAGTTGAGTAGGACTCATTTAGTCCCATAAGGAACTGTAAGAGCCTTTGATAGTCACAGTGTTCACCAAATTTCTTCGACTCTGGACAGGGACAACTACAACAAGGCATAAGAGCATCGTATTCGTCTCACAGATCTCTTAGCCTAGAATGATAGTCAGCAACAGACATAGTTCCCTGCACCAGTGTGTGAATCTCTCTATGCAAATGAAAAATCCTAGATCCATTTACTGTATCAAACCTCTCTCTCAGATCTAGCCACACTTTTCGTGCATCTGAAGCATACACTACAGAACTTAGGAGTCCTGGTCGT